GGGTGGCCATTAGAGCCCTCCCGGCGTTACCTCAGCCCGCTGCGCTCCTGGTGGGAGCTCCCCAGCCGGCCCTAATACTGCTTTCTTTTTTTAAAAAGTAATTTTTTTTTATGCTGAAAGTAACAAGAATCCCCTTTGCAAACAAGCCGGGCAGATGCTGAGGGGGCTGGTAGAAAGCGGGGACTGCTGCAGACCCTCGAGTTGGCATAGGGCCCCAGTGCCATTGGGCAGGGGAAGGGGAAAGTGGGAAAGGCGGCAGGGGGACATCAACAGTTGTGTCATCTTCCTCAATGGCTACCCATGCTGAGGTGTTTTTTCTCTTCTTTCTCGGTACCGTGTGCTCCCCTGAGTGGTGCAGGGATGAGGCTACTTGGGCAAGTGGTGCGGCAAAACGTTGGCTGAGCATGGACGTTGCTGTGACCCGGTGTCGTCGGTGCCCTAACACCGCTCTGCTCTGGCTCCTTCAGCTCTCTTCTTTGTTGCCGTCCTCTCTTGGGCAGAAATAGCCTGTCCTTGCTTTCCTCTTGAGCCTTTTAAGCTGTGTCCCTCTTTCTGCACTGAATGGTTTTAGTCGCCAAATGCACCTCAGAGATCCTTTGGCAGTAGCCCCCCTAACCGGCACCCCGGAGGGTTGATTTATATCAGATGTCCGGGTCTTTGCTCACGGAAGAGGGCTTTGTTGGTTCCCTACATCCCTAACGCCATCCCTTCTGTTTTACAGGAACAGATGAAGTGGTCTTTGGGAAGGTTGGAGGAAACGTCCTCCTTTTATGCCGAAATGTCTCCAAAGAAGCAACCGAGGTTGTCTGGTTTCAAGGGGATCCGCACTCTTACCCCCCACTCTTCTCCTCAAAGGTCGCCTTCCCCCCGGACGTCCGTTTCTCCCTGGTTGACAACAGCTCTCTCAGCATCACAGAGCTGCGTGTGCAGGACCAAGGCAACTACACTTGCAAGGAAGTGCTGAACAAGACGGACCATGAGCACAGGGTCCAGCTCCTGGTAGCCAGTAAGTCCATCCCTCATCTGTGAATTTCCTCCCCTCAGTCTCACAGGTCTCCAGATTCACCTGGCACTGATGAAAACATAATGTAAAAAAGGGCAAGGTGGCCTTATCACGCGAAATCTGTGAGCAGGCTGATGCCACTCAGTTACACGTTCGCTCACAAGCACCGGGACGTGTGTCTAAATGGTCTGTCAAGGATCAGTTGTGTGCGATGCAGAGGACGAAATGCCAGCTGTTAAATCCTTGCTATGTCTCTTCAGTTCCTTCTTCATTGGTGATGATAAACTAGTTTTTGGACAGATCTTTCATATCCTGTAGCCGTTCCAGGGCGGCCCTTTGGCTGGCTTGAGCCTTCACAGATCTTAGGATGGGGGCTGCTGCTCACCATCTTTTTTCCATTGATTGAAATAACATGTTTGAAATAGATGTGCTGTGCTGTTCCTTGTTGCCATCCTTTTGGTGTGAGAATAGAGGGTCCTCAGCTGATGAGTTGTCTGTGCCCAGTCTTACAGTGCAGCCTTCTGATTTTGATGGAAACACCACATTCCTCAAATTTACTGCCGGGAGCACAGGACCTGTGGCTGGTCCCACTCTTGGCCCCTTCACCGAGTCGAATCAGAGTGCCACAGGTTCTGACCCCTCACACCTTGGCTGTCCTTTACGCCAGCCAAGCCCATATTATGGGGTTGAGAAGAGGGAAAGACTGCTGCCAGTTTGCCCATTTCAGCGACACTCCGTGCCTTCTCCTTTCTTGCTGGTCTTTCCGTCAACACCTGCCATGTGTGAGATCTGTTTTCTGTTTGCATTCAGGGTGTTGCTTCCTTCTCGGTGTTTGGTGAAGGGTGTGTGTTGTGAAAGTTGTACTTGTTTTGTACAGATTAAATCTCTGAAAGTTCACATAAATAAAAATTCCCTTCCTGGGGCAAGGAACCTGCAGATGGGATTTGGAGGGTCACAGAGGGCTGGAGTGAAGGAATCGAACCCCGGGCTGCTTAAAAGAATATATAAGTAGGTGTGGGGCTTAGGAGGGAGGAACCCTAAATCTGGAGCGCTGGTGCAAAACACTCATGAGGAAAAGATATCTATGGAATGCCAAGTGTTGGTGCTGCACTCTGAACTTCATTTATTAGCATGGAATTAATGTGTTGATTAATTTCCAAAGGTTACAAAGGTGGTGTGGGACGCTGGTGTGCCCTTAAATAGGTGGGAGGGGTATTTCTGGTGGTGCTTTAGATCAGCAGGATAAGCATCAGCAAAGGCCAGAAGTTGAAGTTTCTCAACCTCGGACTAGAAGCACGGTCCCTGATTTTTCACGTTCACCGTTACTGGAGCAACTTAGCCTGCGCTGGAGCAAACCTCTCAGACACAGGTTTGGCACGGCTCTGAAAAAGCTACCCAGGATCTGTAGGCTTCATGTGAGAGTTACCAGTTGACAGCCTTCAGCCCGTCTCGTGGGTTGTACCAAAAAGTTCTCTTTTTGCTCAAAACTGCGTTTAAAAAAACCCACAAGCAGTAGAGTAAACATTCTAGCAACACAACAAAGGTGCAGCCCTGCCTTGAGGTGCTGTTCCGTGTTTGTTTTAGATAGGAAGCGTATGGTGCAAAGGAAACGTGGAATTGCACACCTCCAAGGGATTCCTTGGTATATTTGTGTGCAATCTGATATAAGCCACTGTTGGCTCTGTTGTGGGCATAAGGTCCCTTTTGCTAGTGTTTTGTGAGGGTTTTTGGTTGGGGGGAGAGGTTTGGAGGTTTAGGTTTTTGGTTTGTTAATATTTTGGGAACAGCTCTCTCTTAGCATTTAGACAGAAGAGTAGAGTTGTACTGGGAGAGCCTGGGAGTTCAGGATGTAAAGCTGCTGGCTTCAGGAGGCAGGTTACTGGAACCAGCACAAAAAACACAGCTCTATGGCTGGACGTCCTGGAAGGACCATGTCTACCTCTCGACACGGGGCAGTTTCTGGTCATTCAGGCTGCCAGGTTGCTCTTGTTAACCACAGCCAGGAGTCGGTTTCAGTTATGAGACTTCCCCAGAGCTGGGATGGAGGAAATGTTGTAGAGAAGTTTTCTTGCCAGAGCTGGATGGTTTCAAAGATCATACGAGATGCATGTATATAGTTCCTGGAAAGCCAAGCCCCAAGAAAGTGTGTTGTTGTAGCTCACGTGGGGTTTTGCCATGATGTTTTGGGTTTTTTAACTCATGTCATTTGAAAGTCACTTGAATGAATGCTCTGCAAAATAAACGTTGGGCATTCCTCTGACACCTCTTGTGCAGGGCTTGCTTTGGCAGCGTCTGATCTGTCGGTGGGGTCTTGTTCGGCATTGGATTAGGCAAGCCAGCCACAGGGGCACAGCCTGTTAATTCTGCCTGGATCCGAGTCTGGATCCAAGTCCAGAACCCCTACAGCTGTAAAACGAACATGTGTGTGTATCCATGCATGGGGAGGGGGTGTGAAATCACTTGATGGGAGAGAGGCAGGAACTCATACGGAATGAAACTGAACCCCGCTCTGCCCAAAGGGATTGCTCTTGGGTTTCTGTTGACTTCTGACCCACTCCTGACATCATGTCGTTGTTTCTGTATTTAAATAACAAACATAGTTGTGGTGGTTATGAAGTGGCCCTGGCATGAGGCCAGCAGTGACTTACCCGAGCTATGTTCTTCGCTGGAGTTTGTCCCAGTGCTACAGTGCGGTGTGGACATGGAGCGTGGTGCGTGGCTCAGTAATACTGTCTGGCCCCACATGGCAGTGACAGCAGTGCCAGGAAGGAGTGGAGCACACCTGGTTTGGCTGCAGTGGCACGTGCCCATCACCTTGTCCCTGCGAGCTGGAGTCACCAGGACTCCCTGTGGGCAGAGCATCTTACATGCTAGGAACAGCCTCCTCCATCAACCATGTGCTGAGCTTGCTGGGGAAGTGCTCCAGCTTTGAGCTGGTGGCTCTGAGAATCTGGTTACTTGTCCCTGGGCAGGAGCCCTGGTGCTCTCCGTGTTCCCTGGAGCGCGTCCAGAGAAGAGCAGCAAAGCTGGTGAAGGGCCTGGAGAACAAGTCTTATGGGGAGCGGCTGAGGGAGCTGGGGGTGTTTAGGCTGGAGAAGAGGAGGCTGAGGGGAGACCTGATCGCCCTCTACAATGACCTGAAAGGAGGTTGTAGAGAGTTGGGGGTTGGTCTCTTCTCCCCGGTAACTAGCAACAGGACAAGAGGAAACGGTCTCAAGCTGCACCAGGGGAGGTTCAGGTTGGATATTAGGAAGAACTTCTTCACTGTTAGAGTTGTTAGGCATTGGAACGGGCTCCCCAGGGAGGTGGTGGAGTCACCATCCCGGGAGGTGTTCAAAAAACGTTTAGATGTGGTGATTCAAGACATGGTTTAGTGGGCGTGGTGGCATCAGGTACACGGTTGGACTTGATGATCTTTGAGGTCTCTTCCAACCATAATGATTCTGTGATTCCCTTCAGAAATCCAAATGCTTGTATCGGTGACGGGGAGAGGCAGAGCCTTGTTCTCAAGCAGTGTGAATCGGTGTCACCCACTTGTAGCTGTGGCATGAGGACAAAGGGCAGTGTGGAGATTTTGTTCTCCTGCTGCATTTTTAGGTGCTTATCTCATCTCCACTGGATTAAGCTGTGGAAATAATTTTTTTTTCCTCCCCGTGCATTAGTCCCTCAAGGCTTGGCTGTGGTTGCTGTGACAGCCCCCTGCTTGGTGTCTCTTGGCTCTCATTCAGCATTGTGCTCCCCTGGGACTGTGGGACGTAGGTCAGGGAGCAAAAGCAGGGAAACCGGGAAGAATTTCAAGAGGAATGGTGGCAGACGTGAGCACTTGCAGGGGTTCCAGCCCTGAGATGCTGAGAGCTGTGACCTGGGAGTGTTTCTGACCATGTGCTGTTCTTGCTGGTAGATCCACCAGAGTCAACCCCAAAGTGCTGGGCTGAGACCTCCTCGTCGGAGGCTGATGCTGCAGGTGTTTTGCAGCTGGCCTGGTGGGTATCCCCACCCCACTCTGCACTGGAGAGAAGAGGGGCGTGATCCGGAGAACACAAGTTGGGTCATCAGCTCTCCGAGCTCCTTGGACACCCACGTGGAAACGCCGAGCAGCTCCCACCTCTCCCACTGCAAAGTGTTCAAGTGTGTCGGGAGCCGCGTTGTCAAGCAGGAGGAGCCTGCCTGCACTGTGGAGATGAGTTGACTTGTCTGCCTTATTAACTATTAATGAGCCTGCTAATGGTGGGGCAGACAGCTACCCTGCTCATTCTCTGCCCTCCAGAGCACTAAGGCAGTGGTCGGGCAAGCCAGGCTTGCTGCAGGGGGAAATGCTAACGAGGCAGCGTGGCAGGGCTTGGTTTGTGCAGAGGTGACTGCACAAGGCACAGGAGTCCTGCAGCTGAGATCCATCATGGCATAGTTGCAGGTGAGTTGTGTGTTGGGTGTATCTTCAGGGGCCAGCAAATCTCCCCACACCAACCTTTTCCCCTGTGCAAGCTCTCATGCCTGCGTGAAAGCGAGAGGTGGTTTTAGTGCCTTGCTCAGCTTGAGATTAAGTTTGGTAGGTCTGAGTTTATAGAAGAAGGGTTGTGCATGCCCCCAGACCCCCTTCAAGTGTCTAAGAGATCTGACTAAAATGGCTTTTGAAGACTTGCGCTGTATTTATCATCCAGGGGTTGTCAGGGCTACACAAGAGCTCTGCTGATCTCCAGGAAGATTCCTGGGCTGCCTTCCTCCTCTCTGTCATCTTCCTGCTGGCTACTCTCCGACTGTTCTTCCCTGGGAATATAAAGACAGGTGTCAAAAAAGGGACCGAGCAATGTGAGAGTTGCTCAGACTGCTCCTCAGAAGGCTGCTGAAGTCTTGTGAGTGAGCTGAATGCCAAACCCATGGTCCTCAAGTCCCAGACTCCTGTCTGACTTCCTTCTGTTAATGATTATTAATCAGTCAGATGGCTGATTGCTTGTTATATTAAACTCCTCCATTCCCTCCTTGACTCTTTTTTTTATTTTTTTTTTCTCTCTCTCTCCTTGGGCTGTTCAGAAATTCCTTCACTGGAACCGGAGCCCCCGAAGACCTGCTTTGTGGGTGACAATGTCACCCTGACGTGCCGTGTGACCGAGAGCACCCCAGCAGCGAGGCTCACCTGGCTGCGGGGCATCACCCAGCCAGAGGTGGAAATCCAACCCGGAGGGAGGTACCTCATTGCCCAGGAGGGCAACGTGTCCCGGCTCACCATCCAGAACTGCTCCCAGGGCACCGACGGGGGCTGTTACATCTGCAAGGCACAGAACCCCGTGGGGCTGAGGGAGCTGTTCATCTGCCTGACGGTGAAGCGTGAGTGGGGCTGCCTGGGCTTGCAGTGGCAGGGACTGGGGAGGAGTTGGGGACACAGCTCACTGAGGCCGTTGTCCGGCCCCCAAGGGGCTCCATTTGCCACTAAGAGCCCTCTTTGCCTGTTGATGCGTTCCGTACTCTTGCGGCAAGCGTAGATGCAGGACTGGTTCCCTTCATCCCAGGGTGAAAAGCTCTGATTCCCCTGGCCTCGGCGTGATGGGCCTGAGAGAGGTGCATCCTTCATCCCTCCTGGGGGTTGTGAGCGCAGAGGGGCACCTCCGAGGGCCAAGCTGCTCAAGGAGGTTGATTTGCTTTCATTAAATGCACATGGGCACAAAAATAGGGGCCTTGCTCTGGTGCTTTTTGTGTCAATGAAGCATGAGTGCCTGAATCCCTCACCCCTTGTGCTGGCGAGACTGTTGCAGTGATGGGAAATGGGAGCTGAGACAGCACTGGGACTTACTTGCACTGAGAATTCCTCGTCCATCTGTGTCCTGGTGACAAGCTGGCCTCTTGTGTGTCCTTTTCTCTCCGCAGAGCCAGTGAACATCGTTGGGGTCGTGGGTGCAGTGGTGGTCCTGTCCCTGCTGGCTATTCTCACCGTCACCGGAGTCATCTTGTACTACAATCCCCTCCTGTGCCTGAGAGGTAGGAGCTCTCTGCGCAAGCCAGGGAGGGGGTTACTCCTTCCTGGGGTGGCCTGGTTTTATCCCTAAGCTGTTTATCCCTTCTGGTGTGCTGGAGTCAGCCACTGGTGATCAGCACAGCCCTTGGGCCTCGTCCTGCTCCTGGTCAAAACCTCATCAGCCCTGGTGGCAAATGAGTTGGAAACACAAGGCCCTTCCCCAGCTGAGTGCTTCAGGCACCTTCCCCTCGCCTTCCCCAGGGAGCTGTGCTGTGACGGGCCTTCTCCCTGTTCCTTGTGACCTTTCTGATGCTCTTGTTGCGTACATGGGCAGGTCACCTTCACATCTGTGCCTCTGCATGTGGCTACCAAGGACCATCCTACTGCAGGCAGGATTGCCAGGAGGATGTAGGATAAAACCGGTAGCACTGCGCGAGGGACTGCTCTGGGGCCAGTTTCTAACTCTGTCTTTTCCCTTCCCTTCTCTCCCATTCAGGTGCTGCATTCAGGTGAGTGTGGATTTTTTCCTCGGCCCAGACCCATGTGCCCTCAGTAGTCTGCCTCCTGGCAGAGGTGATCTCCCTCTGGGAGGGCAGGGAGTCCACCTCTGAGACAGGAGCCGTCCCCAGAGCAAAGCCCTTCCTACGTGAGGGCTGTGCCTCCTGTGGGAAGGCGACAGTGGGGCTGGGTGAGACTCGATGTGGGTGTGGGAGTGGGAGGTTGGGAGGAGAGAGGGGGGAACTTGGCATCGGAGCAGGAGTGGCATCGCCTTGGGATTGCGCAGGGATGGTGCTGGCAAGGCACCCGGTAGTGTGGGAGGAGGCTGTGCAGGAGAGCTGCTCCTTGGCCCTGCTGAGCCCAGAGACTGAGAGAGTAAATAGAAATGGCGATCTTCTGCCGCTCCGTGTGGGTGTTTGCACCATGTCCTTCCCCACTCAGGAGGGATGTCTGATGGCTGCATGTCAACAAGTGCCTTCCCGGAGTTCAGGTGCACCAGATTTCTTCTCTGCTTCCTGCGCGATCCCCTCCTGGCCCTGCTCCCTTCCTTGCCCTCTTCCCACAGCTGTGGTGCTGCAGCATGGGAAGACTTTTTCTGAGCACCTTCGTTTCCCCATCCGTACGGGAGGGGAGAGCAACTCCACTCGAGAGGGGCTCCTGCAGTTTAGTACCTGAATGTTCCTGAAGTGGTTGGAGGACTTTGGGAGATGACCGGGAAGCAGTGCAGAATGGTGGTGGTGGTGAAACCAGCTGTTCTTTGAACGTGGTTAGTGCAGGACTGGAAGAGTCCGTCAAAATCGGTGGTTTTGGTGTAGGGGGTTGTCAGAGCGAGGAGAGGCGCAGGCTGGAGGGAGGGGTGAGGGCAGGCTGTCCTCAGCCGTTCAACCCACCTCTGCTTGCTCTGCTCTTCACAGGAGTCAAGAGTCAGGGGATGTCTTAGTGCTGGTGGACTCAGAAGACGACGGTGAGGGGAAGGGGGGAGAGGAGACCATGAGCAGCTCCACCAAGCGCGAGGAGATGGTGCTGGTCAATGGGAACGGCGTCCAGGCTGCTTACCTCAACTGCCTTACGGAAGGTGAGCCCCGGTGCCTGCCTACCGGCCGGGTTTTGAAACAGGGGCTACCTGCTCTCCTGCTAAGCTGGGGGTCTTCGAGGAGCAGGTGCTGGGGAGGGAGGAATTCCTGAGGTCTGGCTTGTTGGCTCTTGCTGAGATGCTGCTTCTCTGTGCCCTGTGTAGGTGATGATGGTGAGCAGCACGGCGGGGTCTCTGCGCAGGAAACGAAGGGAGAAGAGACGCGAGGCTCGTAGTTCCCATCCCTTCTTGCAGAAGCACGCAGAGCTCCGGCTGCGTGCCTGGCGTCAGGCACGTCCCCATTGCTGTGGGGCTGAGCGCAGGCCGTTCGTGTCCTGCAGCGGGCTGGTTCGGTCAGAGCATCCCCACTTCTTTCTCCACTCGCCCCTTCCCCAGCTTTCACTCCATCCTTCCCCAGCCATGTTTCTCCATTTCTTCTCTCCTCTTTTCATGTTCCTCTTTGTCTCAGGTGTCCTTTTTAACAAGGTGGCACCAAGCTTGGGAAGTGGGTCCCAGTAGCCCACTCGTCTTGATGCCTGTGACGGACTCGAATACCAGTAGGAGGTTCTGGGTCAGGCACCGTGAGCAGTGCTGGGGTTGTGGGGAGCGTGATGGAGAAAGTCGCTGCAGGGCCGCAGTGGTCCCGGGGTGACGGATGAAACAACTGGTGCATGGGCAGGACACAGGTGATGCTGACTCTGGAGAGGCTTAATTGTTTTTATTATAAATATTATTTTCCCCTAGTCCTTCTGAAATGTTGCTCCGTATCTAAGTCTGGAGTTAGTCTGTACTTTGCGGTGTGGTTTTGAGGCGGATGCCTGGCCGTGATGGAAAGCACGCAGGGAATTTCTTCAGGGAGGGGAGCAAGATCTGGGCGGCCGTGGAGGGGAACTGTTGGGTGGGTAACGGAGGGGCCGGAGCGTGCAGGAAGGGATGGAGGGACAGGTCAAGTCTGAGCACCCTGCAGGGGTCAAGGGGGGGGATTCAAAAAGCACACCACGGGCAAGGGAGAGGAGCGATGTGTTCAGTGGGGACCTGAGCTTGCGTGGAGGGAGAGGGAGGGGCTCGACACACGCGTGGGAATGGCCAAAGGGGGCAGGATGGGGTGGAAGGGAGGTTGGAGGGGAGTGGAGGGCTCTGCAAGAGGGGAACGGGAGTAAACTGGGTAAACTGGGGAGTGGTATGAGAGAGTGCGGAGAAGGTGATGGAGAAGTGAGCACACCCAGGGGACCTGAGTGTGTGTGTGGGGGTAACGGGGATGTTGGCACGCACCCGGGGGGAAG